TCACAACACGGCCCAATTCGAATTCAATGACAATTCAATAACACGGACCAATCAGAATTCAATGACAATTCGGTCGAACGGCCCAATCAGAATTCAATGACAATTCAATCACACGGCCCAATCAGAATTCAATCGTGATTCAGTAAAAATTCAAAAACAATCCAATCAGAATTCCATCAGAATTCATTTCAGTAACAATCCAATCATAATTCTGGTCAGAATTTTGTCACACAACTCAGACCCCGTCTGCCCCCATCGAAATCATAAAATCGAGTAAAAAAGAAAAAAAAAATAGAGTACATAAAAAAAAAAAAAAAACAAAAGAAAAACAAAAAAAAAAACAAAAAAAAATCCTCAGTAAATCTCAATATCAATTAAACCTGAGGGGAGTATAAAAAATCAAAATAAAAAAAAAAAAAGAAAAAGAAACCATCATAAACTTTGCATCGATCATAATAATGCACACGATTATCGTCGTATCCTTGCAAATGAATTTATCTTTAATCAACCTCTTTATTGCCATATCTCTCTTTATCTCTCTCTCTCTCTCTCTCTCTCTCTCTCTCTCTCTCTCTACGTCATCTTTTAGTCCCACCCCACCTAGCAACCTACCCTCTCTCTTTCTCTCTCATAAAGTTTTGTTCGTTAAATGAATCCCTAAATCACTCAGACACGATTTATTATCGTTATTACGCGTCGTCGCTGAACGAAGAGAAAAAGTGGGGTTGAATGTAGAGATAGTGATAGGGGTAGGTGAGGGGTTGAAAATAGAAGAGAGAGAGAAAGAGAGAGAGAGAGAGATAGAGATAGAGATAGAGATAGAGAGAGAGAGAGAGAGAAAGAAGAAAAACGAGATTTGCGTCAGTGTTTACCGTGTTTCCCTTTGGGTATCATCCCGTTGGTAGCACTGAATGCCACTATCTGCTTCACCCTCTTCACCCTTTAGCACCCACACCTTCATATACCTTGTTTCCAATTCCCTCTCTCTCTCTCTTTCTCTCTCTCTCTCGCTACCTTCCTATTTATCGTACTCTCACACTCTCTCTTTCATGTCCATTTGCCTCATCCATTGCCTGTTCGATTCTAACCGGAAACTGACGTCATAAATTTTGGACGAGTTACGTATACTATAGGATATATAAATAAAATTTCATAACTTCGAATACCAACTTCCTACCCATTTCCGTTGTTTACGTTGCTATAATATACACAAACACACACACACAGACATACATAGACAGCAGACAGATATAACTGTATATATATATATATGTGTGTGTGTGTGTGTGTGTGTGTGTGTGTGTGTGTGTGTATACATCTACGATCTATATAAATTGATTTTTGATGGATAGATACATCGATTAATTTCCATATTAATTTGATAATGCATCGAACACATTGAATATTTAATGTTATTATTATATGAATAAACATTTAAATGTATCAATTTGAAATTATATCGATCGATGAATGTGAACGACAATATCGTTTTATTTTAAACATTAACATTGACAAATGTTTTTTGAAAAATTCATCGATTTAACTCAGATATAGTGTTTCATAAAAATTACAGATAATTTTTATCTTATTTTACAATTTATTAGATTCCCTCAAATGACGATAGTAATTATTTGGGATATTGATTTTATCGCTTAATCGATACTTCAGCAAAGATATGAAGTATTATTAATGTTATTTCATTAACGCGGAATACGATTTCATAAGTTTCAGAACGATTAATTAAATCTTAGATAATATTTGATCAACTTTCTTCATAAACCAAATCAAAAGGTATACATCAATTTACACAGTGTAGATTGATTTACTAGTACGACGTAGAGGATATAGTTAATTCGAATTTTTTGTGTTTCAATCAAAAAATAAAAGAAAAAAAAAAATCTCCTTGTATTTCATTGCTTTTTAACGATCCAATATCACACTAATTTCTTCTAACAGTTCGTTTATACAATTACTATATACAATACATACAATTTACGTATTAACTCTACGTATATATATATATATATACACACACATGTAAATATTAATAATGAACGTTACTGAAAACCTAATTAAATCAAAATCATAGTTAAATCGTATTCCGTAATGTACACATCCGTGTGGTATATGTTTATTTACATAAATGTAAGAGACGATTAATACAAATGATGAAAGAAAACAAATACATACATTAAATTTAATCAATGATATACTCCGATAATATTCACGTAAAATATCAGAAAATAATTAATCCTATTATGACGAAGAATCCATTTTGAATCCAGATATTGAAGTACAATAAACCAATCGGTAATAGATCGTGACATTAACATCTCTCTATCTATCTCTCTCTCTTTCTCTCTCCCTCTCTCAGTATCACACGTGAAACAAGTTTATACAAATCACAGTATTTGAAAGAGAGAAAGAGATACATTCACACACACACACATATATATATATATATATACATACATTTACCCTGAGGTATGTGTTACAAGCG